TGTCTATGCCATGCTACAATGTGGGATTCAGAAAAAGATGCTGAAATGTCTGAAAGGTCGGACACAGGCGAGAGCGTATCGGGAGACGGAGACCAACCAGACCTCCCTCATCCTTGGCCCTATCTCAGAGGATTATAGAAATAGTCCAACAATTGAGCTTTCAGTTCATATAGCGGCATTTTGCTGTTTTTCTTAAAGGTTACTTTATACTTTTAAACTTTAGTAGTTTTTGGAGCACATACTTTTTCACTTTTACTGGAGTAAAGAGGTCAAGTTGATACTTTAACTTTTACCAGAGTGTTTTTAAACTGCAGCATCTATACTTCTACTGAAGTAACTAATGTGTGAACTTTTGACACCACTGCCCCCTGCATAAAGAACTTTCTCCCACTTGAACAATTGGAGGATAAACAGCTCTAGTTCATGAAGGCCGTTCCCTGTTAGGTTAATCTATCTCTCTCTGGTCAGATGGATCTCCTAATAACAGCAGTCCTCCCCTTCATGCCATCAAGGAGGCTGTGACTCTTTCTGATCTCTCAGGACCTTCGTTTGGAGCCTGTGAGGCTAAGAACAGACGTACCTCAACATTTATTACTCCACATGTCGCATATGATCTCTGATACGAATGAACAGAACGATGATGGCCGTCTGGATTATCGATACGCGGAAGTGCCGGCAGGAATCCTCAGTCATGACGATGATTGTTCAGGTTTATCTGTTGAAAAACTTAAAAAAGGCAAAACCCATCGGCACGCCAGGATGAAAGCGGGACCAAGGTGAGGTTGGTCGAACCGCCACTAGGCGGCGTCCTCAGGCCCTGTTCAGGTCTGGGATTATGGGATTAAGATGCATCCTTGCTGATGAGAACCTGAGTAGAGGTACGTACCCCCGTCCTGAAGGATGAGATGGCAGTTATCCGTCTGACATGAAGCACGTCAGAGAGAAGCTGTCAGCTTAGCAATCAGCAGGAAATCAATCGATGTTCTTCAGCAGCAGATACTGCAGCTAGTTTAAAGCTCAGCTGAGATTTAGCTGCTTCTCTGTGGAGCCTAACAGATGTTAGAGAGGAAAAGAAGACGTTAGCAAACTGCTCTAAAACAGAAGCTGCTCACATTTTTAATGGAGAAACTTTGAAACTTTGGCCTTTTTAGAATGAAATGATCTTAAATGGTTTATTCCAGAAATCCTCAGAGTTCAATAAATGTGAGTTCAAATATTACAGTATCACCATATTAACACAAATATTACAAATAAGAATGAACATTACAGTAAATGATGTTTTACAAAATGACTGAAACTATGGGAGGAAATAACGTCACAGTTTGCAACATAAAGCTCCTAAAACTGCGGTTTAACCTCCAACCTGCCAAGCCTGGATGTTTGCATTCTGGGAATCAGGCTTAATGGAGAGGAAAAAAGAAGCTTCAGAGTCGAATTAGAGGTCAGAATAATCAGAATCATAATAATAATAATAATAATAATAATAATAATAATAATTTTAATTTCTCAGCTCTTTCGTGGAGCCACTAGGACCTGGAAATGCCAGAGTAGTAGCAAATTTCCCCACTTTCCTTGATGGGTTCTTGGTTGGTCCTTGGTTGGTCCTTTGTTGGTCCTTGGCTGGTCCTTGGTTGGTCCTTGGCAGGTCCTTGGTTGGTCC